TTATAGAGCAAGATGAAAAGAACTAATTAAGAATGGTATGAATAGATGTCAATTATCTGTAAGTATTATATTTAAAATTTTCCCACATATATAAAAATCACGTTAATGAATCACATTAATATGTGGAGAAAACACTGTAATGAGGTATTATATTGAATGAGAATTTTTTAAAGAATACTGGAAGTGAGTAAAGTAATGGGGCCTTTAATTGGGAAGTAGTCTTATAGTCCTTTTTGCAGGAGTTATTAAAGCTACACAGAAGAGAATTGTTATATAAAAATAATATCCATTTAAAGAATTTATGAAGCATTACATAGTTTGATTGGTCTGGAAAGAATAAAGATTAAAAAATTTAAGCATACTCAGAAAGTTTTGTTTTGTGGTTGTTGGTATGTATATATCTGCAGTAATAACAGAATTTGACAGCAGAAATCAGTTAATGGCTTATATCCTATTAATGTATTGGATTGGAGCCTACAGAATGAATCACTGTTGGTAAACATTGTCAAGACAGGAACAAGCTATGGTTTTGTCCCTGGAAGATCTATCTATATAATAATCATTCATTTGTTAAACTACATATTTTAGACAGAAAACATTCTATTCAGAGTAATGTCAAAGGCTAGGATGGTAGATTTTAAATATTTGATGAGATTATGAAAGTATTATTAAAATTTTAATTATGAGTACTTATCTTTCAGAGATAAGTAACCGACCTATGCATGGATAAATTATACAATGTCTGAAACTTTCTTCAAAATAATACCGAAAGAGATGAAACAAGATCAGTCATAAATTGATAAATGTTGACATGGATGCTGGATACATGGGGCTTCACTGTACTTTCTCTACTTTTATACACATTTGACATTTCCCATAATAAAAAGTTAAAAAATTTTTAAGAAGCATGAATAAGGCTTCTTTTTATACTCATTATGAAAGATGATATAATTTGTTAATATAGCAATGCAAAAGCGTTAAATGATCTTTGTTTATGCTCTGTAGCACAGTTGTGAAAATTAGACAGTTTAATTTACTCTCAAGTAGTATTGCTTTTAATCACCTTTTAATAATATGTGTAAAATAAGTTATTTGTCTCAAATATTAAAGTATCGACAAGATCCTGATTCAAGCACTTTCTATTTGTCCTTCTTTGAGGTGGATATTAATTGGTTCCCAGACTTCAACTTTGACATGAAAATACAGTATAGTTATACATAAATAGATTCCTTAATGAAAATAAAGTTATGAATATTTAACATATTTACGAAAACATACTTAGTGTTTCTCCATTATATTAAAAAGCCACATGTATTAGTTGAATATATTGTTTTTTAATTAAAGAAAATTTGCAGCTATTAAAAAATTGTGGTATTTTCCATTATCTTATAACTTTAGTTTTTTATTTATAAAAAAATATTTTTCCTTTAGTTCAGTACATAGAAAATTGAAAAAGGAAAATTTAATATTAGATTTCAATCACTATTTATCCTATGTAATAAGGCTTACATGTTATAGCTATATTTCTTTGTCAACAAGTCTTATTTACTTCTGGAAAATAAAATGTATTGTTAATTAAAGAATTAGACATGTGGTTAGATTTTATTTATAAAAAAATATTTTTCCTTTAGTTCAGTACATAGAAAATTGAAAAAGGAAAATTTAATATTAGATTTCAATCACTATTTATCCTATGTAATAAGGCTTACATGTTATAGCTATATTTCTTTGTCAACAAGTCTTATTTACTTCTGGAAAATAAAATGTATTGTTAATTAAAGAATTAGACATGTGGTTAGACAAACTGAACTTTAACACTCTACTATACTTAAAATTTAATATTTCTGAGATATTTTTGCTACCTTTTTCTCTACAGTAACATTATAAATCTATTCAAGCCCCAAACAAAATGCAATTTTAGTTTTACAATAATTAGCTTTGAAACATGACCTTCACGAAAAGTATTTTATTATCTTATGAGTCCATTATGGTATAAAATCAATACTTTAGCCACTCAGTGTAGCATTCTGTTTTTCTCAGTATTTTTTGAGAAAAGCCGCTATATGCTTCCAACTTGATTTCTTTGCTAATTGAATCTTACAAGTAAATAAAATAACTTTTTAAATCATTAAAACCTAATAGAAAATTAGCAGTGTTACGGTAGATGGCTTTTCCTTTGTGGTGAACAGACAGGGTAGAGCTAATAGTCTTGAGTACCCTTCTGACACATGAAGTAGCATCTACTTTTCCAAGAGAGGATGTTTGAAATTAAACATATATGAATTCTCTACTCCAGTTGGGGGAGATTTGACAGCTGCAAGTATTGAGTTTGGGAACTATAATTCTCTGCCCTTAAGCATTGACTTCATGTTCAAGAAAGGAGAACATTCTTTTAGATCTGCTAATGAGAACAACCTCAGTTACATAGTTCTTAAAGAAGAGGCAACCTTAAAAGTAATGAAAAGATACCATCGAATCTAGACACTTTTTGGGGGGAAGTATATGATGGCTGTCACTGGATGTGCCTTCTCAGTAGATTCTCAATAGATTACTACACTGGTGGTGGCCACAGAGTGGGTGAACTTAACTTTAGCTCTATTTGCTTTCTATTGCTGCATAACAAATAACTTCAAAATTTAGCAGCTTAAAACAATGAAACTTTTTTTTTTTTTTTATCTCACACAGTTTCCATAGATCAGAAATTCAGGAGCAGCTTAGCTGGGTTGTTCTGGCTCAGAATCTCACATGAAGTTGCAGTCAAGGTATCAGCTGGGGCCACATCATCTGAAGGCTTGAATGGGGTCAGACAACCTACTTTCTAGGTGGCTTCCTCACTTGCATGGCAGGTTGGTGCTGGTTGTTGGCAGGAAGCCTCAAATCCTTCCCATAGGGCTGTTTGAGAGTTCTCATGGAGTGAGTGATCCAGAAGAGCAAGGCAGAAACCAAAATGTCATTTATGACCTAGCCTCAGATATCATATACAAGCATTTCCAAAATATACTATTGTTTACATTAATCAGCTCTACTCAAGGTAGGAGGTGACGGTGTGAGTGCAGGAACTCCAGGAGGTGAGGTTATTGGGGCCGTCTTAGAATGAGACTGCCAACAGAGTATGGTGATTACTCATTGGGATTGTTCATAGAACTGGTCTTGAGAAAATAAGCTATTTTGTTGTTATTGTTGTTGTTTTGTTTTTTAAACATTCCTTCAGTTCCTGTTTCTGTGCATCTTTGGGGAACCCTCTATTCCCAGATCCCAGTATTTTCAAGTTGGCTCCTTATTCCCCAGGGCTCTGCTAGGAGAGCTCCCCATCCTTCCTCACGAATTCAATAAATATTTGGGAGTAAATTGTATGTTAATCACTGTTTGTTCATGTCAGTGAAAAGAATTACTCCCTTCATAGAGCTTACCTTTTATAGTAGCTGCTTTTATAAGTTTTCTCCTGTGATCCATAATTTCCATTTTTGTCCTATTAGCATTCTGCTAAAATTACTGAGTATCTAATAAGATAAAAGTGATTTTGTGGGTTTTACTAAGAAATATATATTTGGTCTTTGACCTCATTTGTATTGCAGAGCTCCTAAAACGCTTGGACTATCATAAGAGCATTAAAGGTATCTTTTGTTGTGTTAATGAGATGACTTTTGGAAGGCTCCTAGGAACCTAAGGATGGGGGGCTGGTTTCCAGGGGGGTCCAACCATGTGGTTAGAGGATTGGAACTTACAGTCCCACTCCAGACCTCAGGAAGAAGAGAGGGACTGAAGGTTGAATCAATCACCAATGGGCAATGACTTAATGAATCATTAATCAATATGTAATGAAGCCTCCATAAAAACCCAAAGGTATAGGGTTGGGAGAGCTTCTGGGTTGGTGAACAGGTGGAGTTTGGGGGAGAGTTTCACACTCAGAGATCACGGAAGCTCTATGCCCTTCCCCTTTGCATTGCTGCTATCTGGCAGTGCCTGAGTTATATCCGTTTATAATAAACTAGTAATCTAGTAAGTAAAATGTTTCTCCGAATTCTGTGAGCTGCTGTAGCAAACTCATCAAACCCAAGGTGAGGGTTGTTGGAGCCTCCAATCAATAGCCCATTAGTCAGAAGCATAGGCGACAACTTGGACTCACAACGAACATTTGCAGTGGGGAGGGGTACAGTATTGTAGGACTGAGCCCTGAACCTGTGAGATCTGATGCTATTTCCATGTGAATAGAGTCTGACTTGAGCTGACTTGTATGATGCTTGACTTGTATGATGGTGTCTGAGAATTGCTCGGTGGTGTGGGAAACTCACTAAAAACTCACTGCTTAAGCCACCTATAAGACTACTCTTGTTCAATGGAAAACAGTTTCATCCAGCTATCTTATTCAGCATGATCTTTTTCATAATATGGAAATGCAAGATTGAGACAAAAATGTATTTCAAGCTTAAAGAAAGGCAAAAAAAAAAAAAAACAAACCCCAAACAAACCACTAATATATTTATCACCATAAATACATGAGGAATGTCAGAGATTAAAGTTGCTAGTTTTGTCATTTCCTTTCAAAACTGACACAGTATGATTTGAATTTCCACAAATATGATATAACAACTTGGATCACCATTGATATGTAGGTTTACATTCTAAGCCAATGTTTCAGGAATTCTGGCATTTATACTTGTGATGAGCTCTAAAACATCTTTCCATAGGCTTTTTTTTTTTTTTTTTAGATTTAAAACTGTTTGGGCCAATAAATCTTTCTTCAAACGTCAGATTGGTCAACATCGCAGAGGTAAATAGAAACTAATGACACTCATCAAGTTGATGATATGAGTGATTTACTGGACCCAATCATTTAACATGTTCATAAAGTCAATATCAGGGAAAGAAACTGGGCTGTTATTATAGTAAACTGTATTTGTACTGTCAACATTCAGTGATTTATTACAAACCTGTGGCTAGGATTAGGATATTATAAATGGGGGAAAAATGGAAGGCTCATTAATTTTTTATACCCACAGGTGGAAGACATGCAGTGGGCTAATAAAGAACACACTCAACCCGCGTCTGTCTGCAGCCTGCCATGTAAGCCTGGGGAGAGGAAGAAAATGGTGAAGGGAGTCCCTTGCTGCTGGCACTGTGAGCGCTGTGAAGGTTACAACTACCAGGTGGATGAGTTCTCCTGTGAACTTTGCCCTTTGGATCAGAGACCAAACATCAACCGCACAGGCTGCCAGCTTATCCCCATCATCAAACTCGAGTGGCATTCTCCCTGGGCTGTGGTGCCTGTGTTCGTTGCAATTTTGGGCATCATTGCCACCACTTTTGTGATTGTGACCTTTGTCCGCAATAATGACACACCTATTGTGAGGGCTTCGGGACGAGAACTTAGTTATGTGCTCCTAACAGGGATTTTCCTCTGTTATTCGATCACCTTTTTAATGATTGCGGCACCAGATACAATCATATGCTCCTTCCGACGGGTCTTCCTGGGACTAGGCATGTGTTTCAGTTATGCAGCTCTTCTCACCAAAACAAACCGAATCCACCGAATATTTGAGCAGGGGAAGAAATCTGTCACGGCACCCAAGTTTATTAGCCCAGCATCCCAGCTGGTGATCACCTTCAGCCTCATCTCCATCCAGCTGCTGGGAGTGTGTGTCTGGTTTGTTGTGGACCCTCCACACATCATCATTGACTATGGAGAACAGCGGACTCTAGACCCGGAGAACGCCAGGGGAGTGCTCAAGTGTGACATTTCTGACCTCTCACTCATTTGTTCCCTGGGGTACAGTATCCTGCTAATGGTCACTTGTACTGTGTATGCCATTAAAACGAGAGGTGTTCCAGAGACTTTCAATGAAGCCAAACCTATCGGATTTACCATGTATACCACCTGCATCATTTGGTTAGCCTTCATTCCCATCTTTTTTGGTACAGCACAGTCAGCAGAAAAGGTAAGTGCAAGAAATGCATTTGTCAACACTTCCTGGATTGATTTTTTTTTCTTGAGGTTGCTTTCTGCCTTTCTTTTTGATTCACTTATATTCTCTCAAGATGATTCAGTCTGTGTTATTCTTATTTAGAAATACACACGCGCGCACACACACACACACACACACACACACACACACACTCTTCCCTTAAGGTCACTTTGCTTTGAATATGTGTTGATAAGGCCAATTTTCCATGAAAAAACTTTAATGTATACTCAGCAAGATGAAGATTGACAAAGCTCACGTCACTTTCTGGATCTCTCTTCCCAGCTCCATTATATATTAACATAACTGTTCTTTTCCAAATGTTAATTAAAAGAGGAAGAGAGAAAGGACAGACATGATTCACAGAGGTGAGCTGCTGTCCCAGAGATATCCCAATGCATGACAAATGACTCTTCTTCTGGTTCTAATGTGACTCTGGCTTAAAGCTATTCCTTAATGAATATGATGGTTTTAGTCACGGAAGCAGGGTTTATAGTAAAACAATAACAAAAAGAAACCGAAATGGCTTAGTTCGATCTGAATCATCTTATTATTTCTCCTCAGCCCTTATTTGTATGACTTTTCCATATGTAGAAGGTATTGGTGAGGGATTAAAGACAGCAATGGGCAGTTATACAAAGCAGTTTATAATTTTTTAGAAGGTGAAGATCAAATTTCCCCAAATAATTTTCTTCTATTACTAATCTCCCATTAACATTTTCCACATAAAACACTATAAGTAAAGAATACCTATACATGTAAGAGAGTGTGTGTTGAACTGGATGTATGCAGAACCAATATGAACCACAAAATTCAAGGTTTGGGTAGTACGATAGAAACAAGCCAGCCTGTAAAGCACAGGCAAATGCAAACGCTATCTTTCTGTAATGGGTAGCCCCTCCGCTCAACGTGCACATGAGAAAGTTCTCTCAGAGTGAAGACTTAAAAATTGTTTGATCTTCCATCATCAGAAGTCATGAGGAAATCAAACATCCTGGGGGCAATTACATTCCCTAGTCTCTAACATTCCAAGTGAAGTCATGCATGACTCTCAAAATCCCAACTAATTCAGAGGAAAAAGTACTCAGTAAGGGCACGGAGAGCTCATTAGTATGAGCATTCATCCCTTACTAGATCAATGTGGCCTTCAATCAAGTTTGAATAAAAACGTACTTCAGCAAACTTGTTGTTGAATAGAGCAAACTTGCTGTGGGTTCCAGACCTGTGACCTTTCACAACTTGCATGGCCAGATGGAAGCCCATGAATATTTTATATAGGACCGAGCACGTGACAGGAAGATAAAGAAAGACAGTTTGGGGCTCTAAACCTAATAACTAGAAAACATATTTTGGTATATGTGGATGGAAATTTTATTAGGATGAAACTTGAAAATTTAACCTAGGAAAGAATATGTGAGCTGTAAAATAAGTTTCTCAAAGTCTTTTGTTTTTTTTTTAGATGTGGTTAGTTGAACTAGTCAGGGCAAAACAATGTTTTCCAGAGTCTGAAAGTGTCCATATTATGTGAATTATTAATAATATCACCTTAAGTGGTATTTGTATTTGTATTTATATTTGAACCTAGAACTGCCTTTTTTTATACACTGTTTTATCTGGAGAGGGCCACAAGTAGTTTATTTTGCTTCCTTGTGGACAATAAATATTTAACCAAACAAAATCCCCCAGAGTTCTGACATTTAACTTTTTCTTTCTCTTCCTTTACATTTTATAAATTACAGCCTACTTTCACTTTTTATACTGTGACTTCCAAGAGTGCGAGGAGGTGCAAACACAATGCTAATAAGATGTTTTTTTCTTATTAAGACTTCTAGTGCCTAGATTTTTAGAATAAATAAAATCATGGTCCTATATCAAGCTATTGGATATAATCATTGTAGTTCAAACATTCATCATGCTAATAAGTTTTTTTAAAGTAATTGAAAAAAAAAATAACCATTGTCTCTCAGAACAAAAACTCTGCAGAGTTGCAGCTGTGCCCTGAGGAGCAGTGATGGAGACAGTCAGAGTTTTAGGATAAAATGGACCCATGAAGATGCCAGGGGATAGAGGCTGCCCAGTGCTGCCGAGCCTGTAGGAGCTGTACATCCTCTGAAAACCTGACGTTTCATGTATATATTTATATGTGGAGATAATCTATGCCTATAGAGATATGACAGAATGCGGCAAAACAAATTTCCTTTTCCTTTCTTAGCTTCATGAAATCAAAATAAGTCAAAGAAGCAGATTGTAAGGCAAGTTATAAAATAATGTTAATTGGAATTTATTTTGTATTAATGATATGATTGAATGTGCAGAAGACTAAAGAAATCGATAAGAAAAACTAATTCTAGAGATTTTTCAAAACGCTGTAGTCCTAAAATTATTTAGTCTTAGAGTTGCTGAATTTAGACCAGCTCTACATCAAGAACTATTATAAGTAGCTAAGATTTTGTACCTTATATAATACACTTATGTGCTATCCTAACACTTCCCATTTGCTACTTGCTATTCTCTGTCAAAGTGTCTTTTATTATTCAAAACCATACACAAAATGTTTGAGAATGTTTATTTTTTCACATTGCTAAAATTATTGACAGATATTAAAAGTGAATAAAACTTTTATATTTCTATAAGAAGGTTTTTAATAAGTTTTATTGACTTCAGAGGACCAAAGAGCTGGTCAGTCTTACATTCTTTTTTATAATGCTCAGCCAATTAGCCTCACCATTATCAGCTTGAAGTATTTGCAGCAGTTAGGCAGCCCACACATCCATTAATTCAGCAGATCCTTACTGAGCATTGTGTCCAGCATTGTGCTAATTATTGAACCCATGTCAGTCTGCTTCCCTGAGCTTTTCTTGTAAAGCTCAGTCTGGCTCCCAGCCGATGCTGCCCGACGCCTGCCAGTACCAGCAAGGTGCCAAGCTCAATATAAAAGACAATCAGGCTCAAGGGCAAGGGAAGATGGTGAGGAGTCGGATCTGAGATGAGAAAGTAAAAATGAGAGTTATACATCCTGTAACTATACATCAGTGGCATAGAATTTATCATACAGAATAGCAAAATTTCTTCTAGCATGCATTTAATTACACTTCTTAGAATAATATCTATAGAAGAAAACTCATCTAACCACACAGGTCTCTCTGAAATTACAAGAGAAGAATAAAAGTAAAATTAATTAAATAATTTTCACAAATGTTTCAGAAAACCTCTGAGTGAAATCAAATCATAAAGAGACATTAGTAGCATTAATGAAGACAGACAGCTCTCCAGGTCTTCATTCCATGACAAAACACCTTTTCATTTCCACACATTCCTCTTTTTTTTCAGATTTTGAAGTCAAGATGAATTATGTTTATTCCAACAGATTTTAATGACATCATTTATTAGCTTTGTGCCTACTGCTGCAATCTACTAAGTCATAATATAAATGAACTTTTTTTCTTATAGATAAGTGGTGTGAAGGAAAGGTGAACACTCCAAGGCATGGACATGGACTGACACAAACTGTCATAATTTTGATGAAAAGACAAAAGATGAAAATATAATCAATATAATAGTGAAAGAATCCTCGGGGATAGTTAAGGGTTGTTAGGATGTCAAAAGTCTCTTAAATAGATATTTTCTCATCTGTAATTGGTCTTATAAAACCAAGATAATCAGAAAAGGGTTATGACACTACCAAGCTCCAATGAGCACAGTACTTCAATCGGAGCAGCGGATGGAAACAAAACAAAACACCCTCAAAATGGAAAAGAAAACAAAACTCAGAAATGTCAAAATCCCAATGTGTTCCAAACCAGCCTTTCTTCCTTCACACCCTGGATGTGTAGTGCAGAATTCATTTAGTAGCTTGAGTTAGAAACCTGGGAGCCATCTTAGACTTCTCTCTCTAATCTCGCCCCGTTATTTCCTCCTATCATCCTTAAATGTCATCTTTTTTAAATTCATAGAGGGTAAGCAGTGTCTGTCTGATGTATATTTGAATGAATACATTTCTTAACATAGAGCCTTTCATGTTACTATACCCTCAATAAATACCTATTGAATGATTAAATGGAGTGTCTTGTATAATAGTGATATACTATAATAATATAAATGCTTATTTATGATTTAAGGTAGACCGTGGCATAAAGGAAATATATATACATCTTATTGTGATACCCATTACAACTTTTTTTTCTGAAAATTAAGTTATCTCATTTAAACAAGGGGCCATATACACTTATTTAAAATTTTTGTCATCACTCATTCTGAAATAGGGCTGCTAAATATTTAAGGAGAAATACAAAAAGGAATTATTATAGTTGTCCTTAGTTCTATCTAACATACACAAAACAAAGGAGAATTAATGCAATAGTCTGGATCCTTCTGCGATGTCATCCCTCCCTTGTTCTTTCACTACATCTGCTAGTCGAAGGGCAGAAAAGTGTAGGGATCCGCGGCGGCCGAGTGGAGTAAGGGAGAACATGAGCTCTGAAGTGGGAGCACTTGGGTTCAAATCCTGACTCTGCTAAACTAGCTGAGAAAATGTAGGCAATGTAAAGCAATTTCCTGCCATCTGTGCTCAGTCCTATTCTCAAACTAGAGCAGATTTGAGTTCATGTCATCTAGGAGAGGGCGACAAGATGATTAACCTTAAATGTAAGGTAAAAAAGAAAACTCTTGTCTCATTATGGTGTATTTGTATAATAGACCTCATGGTAGTTTTATATGATGATATGAGACGTGAGACCTGTTTAGCACATAAGAAGCAATTAATAAATGTTGGCTATTGTTACTACTAGCTATATTTCACGAGGGCAGGGATCTTATTTGGTTTGCTCACCATTTATTCTTAGCACTTAGCATTAAACCAGGCTGGAACAGGTCCTCAAAAATTTTTTTTTAATGACTGAATACATTCGAGTTTATCCAGATAATTGCCTCAGTTTCTCCAGCCATTTAGACCATGTCTGCGCAGCACCCCAACTGGA